AATCCAGAGTTCTTATTTAAGGCCCAAGTGACCAGGTTCAATTTATCATCTTTTGGACACATTATGTGAAGATCTGGTTCTTTGGAGAAGTCTATAATACTAGGAAAGGAGGAAGGAAAGAGAAGAGAAGGATGACCAGCAGCAAGGTGGATGGACTCAATTACAGCAGCAAAGGGCGTACCCTTGGAAGACCTGAAGGACCAGAATGGGAACAGATAGAGAAAATCTATCTATGTGGTCACTAAGAGTTGACATTAATTTGATGGCACATAATCAATCAATGTATTAGTTTTTTTGCAGCAGAGAGAGAGAGAGAGAGAGGGAGGGAGGGAGAGGGAGAGGGAGAGGGAGAGGGAGAGAGTTCTGTGACACCTTAACGTTTAAGAAATATATTATTGAGTTTGCTTTCACTGATCTTAGATCACTTCATCAGAATCATAAGAATGGAGTTTTATACATACAAATAATTATTTTGTGTATGTGGTCAAGGGGGGCAAAAAAAAAAGCCAAGAGAAGCCAGTGATAGAATGGTATAGAATGACTATTAACAACACAATATTTAGGAATGGCATAGATATGCTTAACCTGCTGAGCTGGTTAACATATGTAACATAATAGGAAATCTCTGTGTAATCTGTGAGAAATGGTATTAACCCTCTTAATGAGTTCTACCTCAGCTATTTCAAAATGAAACTGGTCTTCATAATGACTCAAAGATGGCTATCTTGAGATAAGTGACAGAGTATCTCAGGAAGCTGAAATATCTTTCCATTGGATACATTGGTGGTGCCTAAATTGTTCAGTATCTGGGGCATGGCTGACAGGTGATGGCATATCTCATATGGGAGAATGAAGAAGTGCATGTTCCTATGGTGTTGTGGGTGATGATTTTAGGACCTAGAATATAGTAGTCAGACAATATATGGGCAGAATTGGCATTTGGATCTACCACGATGTTTGATTCTGTGTCTGATTCTGTATTACTGTGGTAGGGAATGTTATCGTGGTTAGCAACTGTTTTACATTGGACAGCTGAAGATTGGCAAGTATGGGTTTACTATTCCAGGTATATGAAAATGAAATGTGTTCAATTTAGTTCATTTTAATCACTGCTTGACTCCAAATTGACTCTGAGTGGCTCACAACTTAAAAAAATAAAAATATACAATTGGAATAAAAACCTTAAATGTGAAACAAGATGGTGAATCTGGCCAACAACAAAATATGTAACACACCCCCAAGCAAGGGGCTTCAACCACCCTAGCCTGGAGCTTGGGAGAAGAGCCAGGTCTTTAAGACCCTCTGGAACACCATCAGGGCGAGAGTCACCCAGATTTCAGGGGAAGCTCAGTCCAGAGGGTAGGTGCCATGACAGAAAAGGCACACTCCTAGGTCCCAATAGATGGCACTGCTTAGCTGAAGGAACCCAGAACACACGAAATATAATTGTTAAGGATGGGCTGAAAATGATTGATAATAAATTTAAGTGGTTTTAGTTGCAAAGTAAAAAAAAAGTTTTTACTTCACAATCATCCTATCTCAATTAACATCTACCATTCATAACTGTCTGGTACTTTCCAACAGACTATTTCTTATGTTAAAAAGAAAGAAATGGACTGTTGTGTAATGACTTGTGAATAGCAGTACTAGAAGGCATTGTCTGGAAGTACCCATGGTCTTCCAGACAAATCTATGGCCTACTTGCTTTCAGAAGGATGCTTAATGGATTTACATCGATAAATTGCAACTTCATATATATGTTTGTATCTTAGGAAGTCCAGTATAGGAGGAATAGTGAGATGTAATTTTTCAGTGAAAAGTACAACCTATCTGCTGCTGATTAGCATAATACAGACCTATCATATAGCATCTGCAATGTAATCCATGAGAATGAGTGCATGTTGATGACCATACATATACATCTGACTGCTAGTAATGGCTAGCACAAATTCATCCTTGAAGGTCTATAAATAGCAAAAGCATCTTGAGCAATTAGGAAGAAAAAGATCCTGATCAAGATGTGAAATGGGTTTAGTTCCAATGCTCAGGTAATGTATATAGGAGTGTTGGAACTATTTCTTAAGCAAGTGACAACAAACCTAGCTAGATAACCTGAAGCACCAGTCTCTTCCCTTATTTCAGTCTCGGGAAGCAAGCCAGAAATGTTAACAGTTCATTTCTCAGAAGGGGGAAAAAACATATCATTTTTGATGGATTGTAATTTGGAGAAATGTTATAACTGTATTTTGAAAATGTATATGTTTATACAGGGAAACAAAACACACACTAATACATCAGTCTCATGTTACTCCTCTGTGCTTGCAGTGACTTTCAACGGATGTTTTTTTCCTTCATGTTAATTAATGCCAAAACTTTCAGATGAATTGAAGAGAAGACATAAAACCATATGTTATTACTGGAAAATTACAGTGCATACCTGTTCTATCTTTTCCCCATTTTAGCTGTATAACAATTTAAAATGTCCCCCCAAATCATCGTAACAATTTAACAATCTTTGCCTAATGAAGACAAGAAGCACACATCTAAAAATGTGTAATGAAATTGACATTAATGCCTTCAGCAAGCAATGCAAGAAAGATCACTAACAGGGAAGCAGAAACCTTTCACAAAATAAAATTTAAATAAAACCCGTGCATCAAAAAGCACAGTACAGCTCATCCATTAATCTCAGTTATTAAAAACATAACTGCAGAGCAATCACCATGTCCTCGATTCGTACTGAAGCTAAACTCTCAAATATAAACCCCATTCAGATGATCATATCTCATTTTAATCATCCGAAATATGACTTACACTTATGCCCTCACTTCTTTTCTTCTGAGCTGGCAAACAAGACATAAAATGTCAGTTAACTAAAGTTTCCCTTTTTGTCCAAACTGGAATATTAGATGAGCTCTAAATAAGCTAAGATATTAAGCCAACTTTAACCATGGCTTTATGTCTTGCCTAGTCTGGAAACCACCATGTATGGATAGGTCTGCAAGTAACAGAAAATATAATCAGTTAGGGACTAAGCAGCTAACAAATTTATCCATGCAATGCAAAGCAGCTATATGCTGGACCACAAGACTCCTTCATTCTTCAGTTTATTAAGACAAACTATGTTCAAATTAACATTGCCTAACCATAAAACAGTATTTTTGTTTTAAAGCTACATTTATTTCAAAGGTAAAAGGTAAAGTCCCTTTCAATTTGGGTTTGTTTCGTGGTGACTCTATGGACACATCCATAGTTTTTGCTTTGTTTTAAGTAAGCAGTTTGCCACTGATGACTTGTAGTCTTAGGTTCGGAGTTAACAAATAAATAAAAAGCTCAACATCCCTGTTGCCTTTCCTTGTTTTTAGTGTAATATAACAAAATATATAATGCTTAAAATAAAGTATTCATAAGCTAATATGAAACATATTTTGGAATCAATGTATTTAATTGAAATTCTCATGTCAAAATTACTTCCTTGGGAGTAAGTGCCACTGATATTGGTAAAGACACACAGACTGTACTGTTATTTCTACTGCTATATATTCCTGTGTATAGCCAAAGCATAATAGTATAGTTTTCTTTTAAAAGAGTTAACTTCTGTTCTTGTTACCTTCCTTTCCTCTATGCCACTACCAGATTCCCTACTGAAAATCTTAAATTTAAAATCACACCAAAGGCAAATTTAAAGAAGCTTCAGAACAATGGCAAATTGTAATAAGGCTTACTAGCAAAAATGTGACAAACACAAGATATGAGGCTGTGTATAAAATTACAAATTTTATTTTATAATGGTGTATGCAGTATAATGTACAACTTGAGCTTGAAAAGTAACATATCACAAATTTTGAATAGAACTTATGTTTGCCTTGAATTGATAAAACAGCAGATCAGTGTAGGCCACGAAACCTAATAAATTAAACAGAAAACAATGGAAGAAAAGAAAGAATAAGAGGCCATAAAATAATGAACTATTTTCTGCCAACAGAAAAAATATTATATTCCTTTTATATTTTGAATATCATCACAAGAAAATCTAGGTTTTAGCTCTGCTGAATTTCTTTAAAAGGAAAGAATTACTCAGTAAACAAAATGTTACAATCTTTTCCAATAGTTAAATACTGCCATCTTCTGAGCATCCAAAAGCAGTATGGTTCAGCCACTCAATACCCTGGTGACAGACTCCCAATATACAATAATCAAAGGAGATTTCAATGTCATTTGTCATAGGAAGATCATCTTCAAAGTTCTCTGGATATAGTTAAAACTTGGCACACAGAATTCTACTTGTCCTGATTCTGAAACATCTTAGTTTGAAGAGGTATCACAATTTTCTGGAATTGAGCCTTAAAGTGCTCAAAAAGGCAAAGACACCTTGGCTCTAGATGGATAGAGAAACACATCAATATTGTTTTCTTTGGCAACAATGCAGAATTAACGCAATGCAATACCATCTTTGTAGATTCTCTGAGAATATCTTTTAACATAACGATGATTAATTAAATTCTGCCAGCAATAGAAGCATGTTTTATGATATCAGCAACAGAAGTATGTTTTACGATGTGTCTTGCCATACATCTAGAGGATTTTCCTCATATTGTTCCATCTAACTTTTACTAACTATGGTGGAAGGGCTCACTGATAATTGAAACAGTTCCTATTTCTTATAGCTTCCAGCCATGGAAGTGAAGAAAATTAGAGAATAATTATTATTTCTATCAGTCTTCCTATTTTGCATATCTTCCCTTCCCTTCCCTTCCCTTCCCTTCCCTTCCCTTCCCTTCCCTTCCCTTTTTCCTGATGTAATCAATCAATTTTTGGTGATTTACAGTGAATACCACAAAAGGACAATTGAAACATCTATGTAAAATACCAACAATAAATAAAAGAGAATGAAATAATAAATAAAAATGGTGCAATAAATTAAGTCAACAAAATAATGAAAATGCTGTCCAGAATAATTTGTTTTTTAATGGCTTCCTAAAGGCTAGTAGGAAGGAGACTTGTCTGATCTGCAAAATTGGTGTTATATAGTTTCAATGTTGGGAATCAGTAAGAAGGTGGACCACGGGTATGCTCATGACACCATATGCTCATGGAAGTCTGTGTCTGGTTCCTGAGCTTAGTAGCATAGACTAAAATTAAGAAATAGGATTTCAAGGGCAGTATTTCTTTTAGAGACATCCATGTAAGAAGTAATGAACTATATATTCTATGGCATTCTATTCTGTTAACATACTGCCATGATGGGTTCTCATCAGTGTTACGTGTATTGATGGTGTCCAATCCTAAACACATACAGTTAGGGGGACATTTACTGACTTTCTTCTTAAAAACATTTCATATAGTACACATACCATCCCTAAATGAACTGAGTAGCCCCTATGTAAATGAAGCTCTTTGATGGGCATTAGAGTTAGCCGCATGTTTTACTGAAAGCAGCACTGGGCATACTAAAATAATGGTCAGGGCACACATAGCTCAATGGTCCAGCCTTAGCGATGGTGATATTGCTGTCCCATTTATAGACCTACTTAGGAGTTCCACTGGAATGGCTCAAGAACCAAGGGGTATTTTGGTTCTGAACTGAGCCTGGTGATGGTTTTATTTCCCACAAACTTGTGGGTGACAAAATAAAGCAGCTAGTTAGAGCTTGGGGGCCACTTGACTCTCATATTATTGGAGTACTTGGTAATTCTATTAGCTGATTTGTAAACATGAAGGGGCAAGCTACAGAATGGCACCATTTCCTTGTAAAGAAGGGCAAATATAAGAAGTGGTTGGCACTGGCTAACCTCCACAGAGTCCCCATCTCTAGCCCTGAAGTCAAGCCTGCGTCATATCTAAGACCTATATAAAAATAACAAAAAATGTACCTGATGTTATTATTGGCACACCATTTTAAAATTCTTCCTTGCAAGTAACTGATTTTTCTGTACGGCTGTAAATATCTTGCCATATGCTTTCTACTTTTGTTTGTGTACATGATTCAAATATAGATTACAAAAGAACCTCAGCATAATGATGAGCAAGCAGCCTCAAAAAATCTGCATTCCATGCAATCAATTGTATGCGTTTTCTTTTTCTTATACACTGAAGCTTGCAGAGAGAGCAAATTTACTTTGATTAGGAACAGAAGACCATGCTGGCTGCAGTTTTGTTACCTAGAGAGACAAAAACTTATTACATTTTGATTAAGACTTGGGCCCAGTTGTTCACAAAGTCTACAGTATTAACAGATTTATTGGCTTAAGTGGTAATTAGATGTGGTCCTAAATCAGCTGAATCAAGGTTTAGAGGGGAATATAAGTTCTATATTTAGAATTCTAAATAATTAGTCTGATTTTGAAGTATGCTAAGTACTCAACAACTCTGAATAAAGTTCCCTCTGAACCCTTATTCTATGATTCTTAAGTGTTAAATTTTCCACAAGAGTTCTACCCTCATCCGCCCTGGAAACATTTATTTTTCTTCTATTATATTAGAGGTTTCAAGAGTTTTGGAAATCTCTAAAGTTTCTTTGTGTACCTTTATACTGCTAGAGGAATGTAACTGTAACATGATTAAAAGAAAAAAAAAAAACCCTAATCCAAGAAAAGAATAAATATTAAGTCTCATTATAAAAAGAGATCCCTTACTGTAGACAATACTCACTATAATTATCTCTAGCTTAGATTTCTTCCAGAAACACAAAGGAATATGATTGCAGGCTAAGGAATTCCCCTCTCTCTTGCCAGTTCCAAAAAGACACTTGTAATCTGGTGTGCTTACAAAATGTTTGTATATGATGCAATCTACATGTGGAGAACAATACACTGTCACAACATGCTGGCTGATCATTCTAGCAGTTAAAACCTACTGTATCATCTGGAAAGCACCAAGCTGGGCAAAGTTAGTATAATATATACTATATAATGTACTATATAGTATATGGTGTACTATACTACATGGTACATACAGGTTGTACCAAAATTCAGGCCCCATAGACAATTTTTTACATAAATTACATTAGGTGTACAAATTGGTTGCCATTTTCTTCTCAACAGTTCCTTACTCATTTGACGCATAACCATTGAGCATTCCTGAGTACAGCATTTTCTATGAAAAAAATAATTAATAAAATTAATTGCTACTGGTCTATGGGGCCTGACTTTTGGTATATCCTGTACTGTATACTATGGTATACTATGCAATGTACTATATTACTTGGGACATGATAAAATATAACATCTATATATCTCTCTGAGAGTTTAAGGGAAGGTGGACTGTACATCGTTCTGAGAGTTTCTATATTAGCTAATGCAGATCACACATATATAACATGACCATTACATGTCTGTTACATTACCATTACAAACTCTTCTGCTCTATCTTTCTATGTCTGTGGAATACTCTACAATCCTGAACATTTCACAAATATTCAGTGTGCATGCTCACAAAAACTGCAAGGGCATCTCCTGCCACTTTCATTTTCCTTGCCCCAAATCCCAGCAGTTTATCTTGGGGAACAACAGGGGAGCTCATACTTTGCAGTATCTAGCATGGATGTATGAAATCAGGACAGGTTACAAATAAACAAGAAAAGAAGATATTTAAAAAGTAAAACCTTTTTAAAAAGGTAAAGCTACTGGAGATGAAAGACTACTTTATATGGAGGTAATTTACTTTCAAATTTTAAATCACATATCATAGGGGAAGTACTGTATGTAACAGAATCTGAGATCTTCTAAACACAGGAACATCTCTCATTCTTCTCAAATCATTCCTTCAATAATTTTCAGAAATATCTATTTAAAAATAAATTTTAATCTAGTCTCTAAACTCATTAGTACTCCAATTTCTTACCTATCTGTAATCTCCAGTCCTAAACCATTTAAAATGGCACATTTTTCAAGAAATGTATTCAGAAATTATCTTTCAATTAATCATCCCTATTCCAAATCCTTTTGACTAATTGATAATTATATGCTCATTCTTCCTTACTAAGCTTCAGGCAAACTGGATAATTCTAGAATTTGGTTTTATTTTTCTTTGCTGTTAGTAAAATGTGGGAAAGAACTTATTCTTTTTCCATGTTGAAAAAGCAAGCTTCTCAGAATTATCATCTTTTTCCCATAACATTTTCTCTCAAGAAATGCAGAAGATCAGTACTTCTATGAAGGTTATTTTATCATAACAGTAAACATGCAGCTATCACTCACGGCCAAGGCTGTGTTTTCATCTAATAATTAAATATATACGAAACTCAAATAATATGAAATGGCCTTCTAATTATTGACAATTGGCAACTTCCAGATCTGGTGTGAAATGGAAGATTTCACATTCATGGTGCCAAAGGAAACACTAGCTATGATCATCCAGGCAAAGTGTGTGATTTGCATGCAATCCATGGCATTGGCTGGTAGAGTGAGAAAGACCTAAGCTTAAAATCCTGAAAACCCATTGCCAATCATAAGAACACAAAAAAAGCTATACTAGATTAGATAACAGACCTACAAGAAAATAAAGCAAAATATTGTTCCAAATCCCTTGGCCTCCATTTATACAAAGATTCCACTGTCTAAGGCCAACCAGCCAAAATACACACTGGGTGGTCAGTCTTTCCCAACTCTAGAGGTGGACTTCAACTGACATAATCCCAATTTTTGTCAATGTTGTCTGGGGATTATGGGAGAGAAATACAATTTCTCTGGAGAGCTCTGGTTGAGGAAAGCTCCTTTAAGGCACTGGAGCAATAGCAGGAGTAAGTAGATCAGCACTGTCTTACTACTGTGAAATCAAACTACTTGTATTGCAACATGACAGAATTTAATCAGTTCTCATTTTAGCTGCTGGCATTATTGGAAATAGAAGTGAAATGTTAACAATGTAGGCTTCTCTGAGCTAGAGGTTTTTCAGTCCTAGACAGGTAACTGCAATATCCATCACAACAATTACTTTTCAGAACGGAAGAAACTTTCTCCTTTTTTCCTCTTACTCCTTCCAGCTTAGTGTGCACAATACAATCCAGAATTTTTTAGATAATAAGCAACTGTGATTTTCAACATAACTGGTGCTACAGGAAATTGAAATGCAAGACAGCAAGGTAGTGTGTGTGTCTGTGTTTAAAGGAAACTATTTGCAAAACTGAGCCTGGGAAACAGATCATGGAAAACATTATGAATAAACTTTTAGTTCTTTATGTTTTGAGTGAGAGATAGTACTCTGGTCCCTGTAGAACAAGTTTTCAGAAACAGTCCTTGAGGTGTGTTAAAAAACTAAGGTTTAAATCTAATACTTACATATTTCTCTTGCCATTAAGAAGAAGAGATGGACAGTGATGTATGCACTGCACATAGGAAGACAGAAAATGAGTGACTATATTAACAGAAAATTTCCAGAATGCCACATGGGTATTAGTACTTGTAAGCACTTTCAAATTAAATGTCTTTTTTTCTGCATTACCAAAGCTAAAACATGCCTGGGGAATTCATTTCATTTATTATGTATGTCTTTGTTTTATGTATTTTTATATCTTGTCCTTTCACTATCTCCTCCTCTTCTCTTCCCCAATAAGTAATGGCTTATAATACAATATAATTCCAAAAATAATAATTTAATAATTCCAAGCACAGCATTATGCATCAGAAAGGGCTTGCTGGTTCACATAATTGCTTCTCCTAAGAAAGCAGTTCCAACTTGAATATCGGGCACACGTGTGTAGGATAAAAGGGTTTAAAATTATACAGTACATGGTATATCTCTATTGATACTCATAATAGTACTAATACTATTACAATTATAATGTGAAAAACACCCAATCAAAATATGACAGTCCCTGACTTTATTCTAACTTCTGGTTTCAAAAAGCAGGAACAGAGGGTGAATGCAGTATGTCACACTTGAATACAATTTCTAGAAGGGGTCCCTACAGTTTCTTCACAATGGCTAGGAGGAGTTTTCCTCCTAGCAGATAAAGAAAGGAGTATTACTCTATGTGTGGATTTAAATAAGAGTCAACAACGCCTTGGTGGCAAATAATCAAAGGATGTGGCAATTGGAGAGAACAGATTGAAGAGTCAGTAGGAGTTGGGCAGCATCTAAGTCAAAATATATAAATAATTACTTGTAGCCTGGACCAGATATTCAATTTTATAACCCTGCTTCCTTGGTATTAGCAACCAATAGAAAAGTTCAAGGCCTCTCTGTTTATGCGCAACTAACAAGCCTCCTATGCACTGCTTATGCCAGCAAATGCTGAGTATGGAACATTATTCTGAATTCTAGGAGGACTGTAAAGTCATGCTCAAAGAACTTGAAGACAGTGACTACCCTGCTAAGCCTGCTGGATCATAGGGTCTGTGTGATTAGTCCAAGTGCTAGTTTAAAGCTCAAGTACCTCATTTGTATTCCACTACTTAGAAGGAACTACAAATGTAGTGCTGTGATCTCTTTGACGTGAAAATCTTATCACCCCAATGGAAACATTTTTTTTTTCTATAGTAACAGCTGCAAGATCAATTTCAGAAATAGCAGAGTGTACAGATTATTGCAGATATTCTGGCTGTGCCTGTTTCCATAAGTTTCTTTTTTAATGTGAAATTTTTAATTAAGACAGGTTTCAAAAAGAAAAGAGAAGACTTCCTCTCAAAGTTAATTAGACACTTTCTCTGACACACCAAAAGGGTGGGGTCAATGACTCACTCAACACATAAGTAGGATCATTATTCAAATGAATAGTTTCAACCCGATGTAGCATCAAAAACAACTAAAATATTGTTATCCATTCTTCCAGGTGAAATAAACCAGCTTCTCATAGCTTCTTCTCTATGTTGCATACTTCAAATTTGTGAGTATCTGCCAATGTGCCAAGTGTGTTTGGGTGCCTCTTGATCAAGAGTGCCGCCTGTTGTATCCTCAGAGAAGAAAAACGATGGGCAATTTTTAATCAGTAAAAGTCCTGAATCAAGGCTATTTCTGTCTATTGATGCTCACATGCTATAGTAATAATAATATGGATATGCCTGAGAATTTTATATAAGATGCAAAAAACATAAAAATAAATGGAATAAATAAATTACTAAAAGAGTAATCATATGGCAATCATTCATTTGTAAGAAAACTAGGAGCATTAATTGTATACATGCAATAAATAGATCTCATTAAAGATTATAACCAACTATTAGGCCAAAAAAAAAAAAATCCTCAATACTGAACAGCCAAAATTAGATCACCATTGACAGCTTAACAAAGTCTGAATTTATTAATTATGTAATTTATTTATTAACAATATTGAAACATCTCAAGTCTTTAAAAAATAATTGCCAGAATTTCAGAGCTACTGCTATAGAATTGGAAGGGGAATAACTATTTTTAATAATTATTCAAGAATACCCTTAGCAAAATAAGAACTCCTAAGTCAAAGAAAAGGTGGGATGTTGATAGATTGTTCTATTAACATAATTTACAGACATCTAAAAAATAAATGCATTAATAAAAATAATATAGTTAAATAAACAAAAGGCCAGTGCAAATTAGGAAGACAATAATGTATAGGGCACAACAAAACTATGCAAAAACAAACTCATATGCTTAAAAATTACTTCCCTACTTCTGCACACAATCTCTCTCTCTTTCTGTACTATTGTGAAAAGAAACTTTATCTTGTTATTTATATATGAATTGTAAGTGGGAAAATCTCATAATATATTTTTAACTTTGGTTTTTCAAGTAGTCATTATGAGGCCAGGCAAGATGGTGCTGACAAGGTTAGTAGCACACACTGAGCTCCTGCAAATTTGGCCATAAAACCAAACTTTTAGTTTCAGCCTATGTTCCCAGGACTGGATAAGATAAGATTAACTGATCTCCTGAAGTGATAGTGTCAACCTGTATTTATCTCTCTCTGGGACATCATCCCTGGATTATCTCCCCTACACACACCTTTTTTCCCCCCTTCTGGCTACTACACTGCTCTGAAGACCTAATTTATTACCTGGCAGCCAGGTGATTTATGGTCTGACATAGTGGAACTGATTGAATTCCTCTCCCTGAAGGAAGAACCCATCAAGGAGGCTTAAAACTGGCAACATGTAATACAGGAAAGAGGCTTTAGCAAATGAAAGGATGTAAATGATTATCCCTTCCCACTTGGTATAATCAAAGAAGGGAGCTGTAAACAAAAGCTTCACAATGATCCTTATCAGAAATACTTGTCTATGACTTCATATATATAATTACCTGTACCTGTGCACTCTCCTCCTTAGAACATTGCAGAGCTACAAGACTTTGGTGGGATCCCTGTTCCAATGTGACACACACAGAATATGCACACTTGTACAAACACATACACATATGGCATGTCTGCCATCATTTCCCTCAGTTTCTTTCACCACCATAACAAGCCATGGAACCAATAAATAAATAGACCTGCCTGCATGGAGAGATTGGTGGGTTGTGTGAATTTATACACTTGAAGGACCAAAGTTACAAACAAGTAACCTATACTTCAAATCGTCTGTGAAACACATGTGGGTGAATAACAAACTTATAACCCTAAAGATGAATTTAGTTATCATGAAACCAAGGTAGCCAATGCTGCTCTGATGAATGTAGCATCCCATTTGGAGCAAGCTTGTAAGAAGGTGGGTGGCTGCTTGGGCCAGGCTGCCACTCTGCACAGTTCCTGCAATGGAACTTTCCTGAGTACAGAGATGAAATGGAGATAGCTCCATGGAAGGCCTATAATGTTCTATGTTGACAGAAAGTTGGTTAACTCATAGCATAGGTTGATTGAAATTATTGCTCATCTGGATAGATGTTGAGATTACATTAAAATGTATTGGTCATTCATAATATTTAAAATAATGAGACTTCAGAAGAAAAATAATTTGCTATTTGCTGAAGATAGAAAGCAAGAGTTTTGTACATATCTAGGGTGTAGAATGCTCATTCCAGGAGTAGAGACAGACCAGTAATAAAGATACTGGAGAAATAACATCCCTATTCATATGAAACTCTGAAACTTGTTTTTACAGAAAAGAGGGGTCTGGATATAAGATGTCTCAGGTTTTATGAAAAGAGGGTCTCTGATCTAAAAGCAGAAAGGTTTTTCATTGATTCTAGCTTGACTAGAAATGCACTTTTCAAAGATTTTCTTGGCCAACATAAAAAGATTCAGAATACAATGGAAAAGGGAAAAGTGAAAACAGGGTGCAATTAGACTTAGCAGACAAACTTTAAATAGGACAAGAGGAGGTTGATGAGTTTTATGGTCAAGTTCAATCTGAAATCAAAAGAACTTACAAGCAAGATGTTCTGCTTGTGGTTGGACTGAACTCCCAAAGTTAAAAATAGTAAGGAGAAGAAGACTATATGGCCTAGAAAGCAGAAATGAAGCAGGAGGATGATTTACCAAGTTCTGCTAGTCCAATGATTTCTTCATTGGTAACACTTTCTTCCAAATTACACCTATATACATGAAAATTACTAGATGGAGTACAAAGAAGTAATATTGACTGCATTATTGATACAAGGAGGTGAAAATAATGAAAGTAATAAAAAAGATGTGACCAAAACTGACTGTAGAACAGATCACAAATTGCTCATGTGCAAGTTCCAAGTTAAGTGAAAGCAGAAGAATAAAGTCAACCAGTTTCCATGACATGATTTTAAGCATATACCCACCATTTTAAAGGAGAACATCAGGAATTGCTTTGAAATCTTGTACCTCATTGATAGAGAACCAGAGGAACTGTGAAATAAATTTCAAGAAGTTGTTAAGGATGAATGTAAAAAGAGACCACCAAGGACCGAAACATGAAAGAAAGGAAACTGGATGTCAGAACAAATGGTAGAAGCTGCGAAGAGAAGCCAAAGCCAAGAAAGATCTCAGGAAAGAACTTAAAGAATTTCAGAGTTGTTTGAAGAGCAAGAAGCAGAATCAAAACAATATCTGTAAAGACACTGAAGATGGAAAAAGATACATAAAAAACAAAGAAAGCCTTCCAAAAGATCTTTGAACTCAGGAGGTTACATCCTTGAACTTATATGCTAAAGGATACCAATAAACAGATAAGACAAACTGACTCAAAGAAAATTAAAGAGGGAAGGCGTATATTCAAATTCTGTATAGTTGAGATGTCAACATCTAGAATGCCTTATAAGATATTCCCTAACCTCTAGTTCCCTAACCTCTAGTTCTACAAGATGAAGTCAGATCAATGCTCCAGTCATTCCAAGTCAGAAGGCTACAGGAATTGAAGAAAACTAAAAAAATATGGCAAGCAACAGAAGAAGAATCTCAAAAGATTTCAACCAAACTATCCCAACAAATCTGGAGAATGACAAAG